GTGACGCCTGCCTACGGCCTCCTCCGCGCCGCGGCCCGGGTGAAGGCTGCTGCTGGGGCCGCGTGGGAGGGGAGCCGCAGGGGGGCGTCCTCGGCGGCGAGCAGAGGGAGGCGTCTGTACTGACGGCTGGGTGGAGGCAGCAGCTGGCCGTCGGGGCAGAATATGTTTGATCGCCTCCGTCTGCTTTTGGGCAGTCGAGAACTGCTGGGCAAAGTCCTCGACTGCACCGCCGAAAAGGCCAACCTGAGATAACGGGGCGTCGAGCAGACGAGTCCGCTCGGCATCCCGTGTATCTGCGAGGTTAAGCCAGAGATGGCGCTACTGGACCACACTAGTGGCCATCACCTGACCAACGGAGCGAGCCGCCAACTTCGTTGCCCGGAGAGCAAGGTCTGTGGCCGCTCGCAGTTCGTTGAAAGCCGATTGGTCAGTCCCCCCCTCATGCATATCTCTGAGCAACTTGGCTTGGAAAACCTGCAAGGTGCTCATCGCATGCAGGGCGGTGGCCGCCTGTCCCGCCGCTCTATAGGAACGCGCCGCCATAGCAGACGAGAACCTACAGGCTTTGGATGGGTGCTTAGGAGGACCACGGGAGGAGGCGCTCTGTGGACACAGCTGCATCGCAACAGAGTGCTCCACCGGGGGCATCCCAGCGTACCCACGGGCGGCCCCACCATCGAGGGGAGGAAAGGCGGGGGAGATCAGAGCGCGCTCTCGAGAGGACAAAGGAGCCTTCCAAGAGCGCGTCAGCTCCACATGCAACTCGGGGAAAAAAAGTTATTGGGGTCGGCTGTGGCCTTGCGGCGGCAGCCTTGCCCAAAAACCAATTATCCATCCGTGAGAGATCAGGGCAGGGCGGAGGGTTCCACTCTAACCCGATACTCACGGCGGCCCGAGAAAGCATGGCCGTCAACTCAGGTTTTAGACACGGGCAACGCTGGCACTCCCGAGGGAGGCAACGCAGCCGCATCCTCATCTCCCGAGGAATCAAGTCCCCCTTGTGATGCCGCGATCGACATCGCATCATCATCTGAAGCGCCGAACGAAACAGACGGTACCTGCGAAGAGGTAGACGGCTGAATCGAAGCGGCGCTCGCTGGCTCTACCACTGGAGCGGGGGGTGTGGCCCGAGGAATCGTCGGGGCTTTGTTCCACACCGTCACCGTCAGATCACCCTGGCCGCGAGTCGAAGAGCTTCTCGTGGAAGAAGCCGATCGAGTAGCGGGGACGGGGACTCTCACTTTAGTCAGATCATTGAGTCTAGATCTCAGTGTAGAGATGGTCATGTTCCCACAGAAGGAACATGAGTCATCCACGAACGCTGCTGCTGCATGCTTGAATTCCCAGGCATACAGAGCAACGATCGTGACCATCAGAAGATGACATGAATCGACCGCACCCAGAAGAACACGGGCGAGACATCTTAAAAAAGACGTGCCACGTGCAGCTCTTTCAATGAGAGGAGGAAATTCACTCTTTCAGCGCTGAGGCGACCAGGGAGAAGCGCAAAGTCTGGCAGACCACTGCTCAGATCGCAGGCGATGCAGAATCTCGCTGGGTACCGCCGTCACACCAACACTGAAGAGGACGCTCGTCTCGAAGAGTCTTTGGATCAGTGAGAATGGCTTTAGGAGTGAAGAGTTCTCTTGGCTCCGAAGCGAAAACATACTGCGGTTGCGTTCACTTCCTCCTTTTATACTCACGGAGTAGGGCAGAGTACGCTATGCAAATTTCCGTAGCCCCAAGGCATTGCATACCATTGGCTCATTGTTAAATACTCGAAGAGGATTGGCTTTCATGCGAAACCCCCATTCTCCGTCACTTCTGACGTAACTCGAAGTGACTACGAAAGGGAACACTGATATTCCGATTGTCAAATATGTGTAAGTGGAAGCGTGTTGTTTAAACGCCTTCACAACAAGTTGAGCTGTATGCGCGATGGGCGGCGCCATGTTAGTTTGTGCCACAGTTCAGAGAATCGGATCTGTTGGATTTACAACACGTCAGTTTCTCCACTTTTCACGAAATACATTGAAGGAAGAGGCCGGTGAACTAGGAGAAGAATAGGGTAAAATGTGAAGCTACCAACACAATGTCTATCTGAAATGATAAAACGTATCGTCTTATTGCCGCTTCCATAGATATCAGCAAAATCAAAATCATTGTTTTGCTGGTAATTATGTGTGTATTTAAATGTCTGAAACTTAAAATAAACAATATAAGGTTGAAAACATTCAATAGTTGTAATATATGACAGCACTGGCTCAGTGAAAGCACGTTTGAATTTAGAAGTTGATAGACGTTATGTAGCCCCGCTCCTTTTCAGCGTTGCGCTCGTTGTCTTTTGACTTCCGGTCTGTGTTTCCACAGCGATCTTGCATAGGTATGAATGAACTGCTCGTAAAAAAATTCCCGTTCAACATTTGTTAAGAAATCTGCTTTACTATGCTTATGATAAACACTACAATGCTCATAATAACTTTTGTTAGCACTTTTGTACAGCAGCTGTCTTCTACATTCTATCAAAAACAATATGATACATTTTTTGATAAATTATATATTTTAATTTAAAATATAAGCGATTACAAAGGAAATGTTTTGTTTACAGTTCATTTTTGTTTACAGTTCATTTTTTGTGTACAGTTCAAAATGTTTACAGTTCATTTTTAAAAATTTTATTTATTGTATGGAAAAATCCCGCCAAAAACAGACCGCCATTACATTTTTCCTCTCGCGCACCCCCTGGTGGCACCACGGTTTATCCCTGTTTAGAGTGCAGTATAGGAGAATTGAGATGCATCATTTGTACATGGTACTTTCATATTCTCTTTTTGTTAGTGTAAATATTAAGTTGAATGAGTTGATGATCTGTACACACATTTAAACAGTGGCTTACCTCCAAAAGCACTGCTATTTTCTCTTGGCAGATGGCAAGCCTAGCAACCTGTTTGTCCTGTTTTAGCTGAAGGTAAAAATTAGGTGGAACTTCATGGCTGTTTTCTGTCTGCTGAATAGCCACTCCCAGGCTTCTGTCTCAAGGGCTTTTGTGTTGGCAGATGACTCATTGTATTCAAAGACACTGTTTAAACACACACATAAACACACGAACATCCCCATAGACGCTCTAAATTGCACAAATGCACACAAAAGGTGTGAGATGGCTGTTTAGTTTTACACTTAAACCATAAAGGGTCATTTCCACAGGTGCTGATCTGACATTTTGAGAGCGCCGGCTAACAGGAGTGCAGCAACATGACCAAGGGCACATTTTTCCTGTTTCTACTTGCTGTAAGTAAACCTGAGTCAACTTTAATCACAATAGTAAGCTTTAATGAATGATTGATATCATACTTAATCGGTTTATTTGATAATGGTGACTACTGGACTTAATCTAATCCTTAATGTAATCTTTTTTTTAAAAGTCATTATTTCTTATTTTTTTGCTAAGGTTTTGAGCACTGTCTAATTGGAGCTTTTACAAATCTCACATATAATAAACCAGATAAATAAAATGATGTTAGATTAGGAATGACGTTAAAAATATGAAAGGTATTAGAGCAACTGGTAACACTTTATTTTGATGGTCCTTTTTGATGGTCCCTAATGTAATTTTGTCTATTGCAACTCCATGTTAACTGCCTCTCATTAGAGTATTAGTAGATTGTCTGCTTAATATCTCCTAACTCTTTCTTGTAATGGTCCTCCAACAGACAATCTACTGACTATACATAACTTTGCTTCGAAATTCACATTGTGATCTGTGTGAAATATTGGTGATCCAAAAGGTAGTGTTTCATGCTTTAGTAGCCTACAGCATGAAGCAGTTAAAGTGTGTCATAAAAGTTTCATAAACGCATTAAAGAGAAACTAAGTTATGTACAGTATGAAACACAGATTAATCCGTAGTTTATAAAACACATTTGTTGTTCTTATCAAGTGACATTTCTATAGTGACAGATGACATTTTTAGGTGATTTGTTTATCTGTGATGTTGCTTCCTTGTGTTTTGCATACTGTAGATAGTGCGGTGTGAGTCTTTTTTTTAATGGTTTTTATGAATTAGCAACCATACATTTTTCTAAAGACTTCTATCTTGTAGTTCATCTTTAGCAGAAAGTATAAACAATAGTATTTAATCTGAGGGAAGCAGAGTGGTGTTGTCTTGCATGCACAAACACCATTCTCATTGTGTCACCTATGTAAAGGGTTACGTTACCCCAAAATGAGTCAGTAATTACTCTCCCTAATGTTGTTACAACCCCATAAGACTTTCGTTCATCTTCAGAACACAAATCTAGATATTTTTCTGTCTATATTTTTCTGTCACTATAGAATTATTATTATTTTTGATTAAATCTGAGAGCTGGATCACTCCTCCATAGGCTTTGTAAGGGATCGAAACTTGATGGTATCGTTAAAATAGTCAGAGTGACTACAGTGGATCAATTTTTAAGTTTATCAAGTGACAAGAATACTTTTTGTGCGCAAAAAACAAACAATTATTCAACTATTAATTTCCTTCTCTGTGGGCCGTGAGATTTCACATGTGAAACTGCGCAACACTTCTAGTTTGTACGTCACACGCATCTCACACATGACCAGTGTCGGCCAATAGTGAGCCAGAGCCTATGTGTAACGTGCAACACAGAAGCGCTGTGCTGTACGTGAAATCTCGATGCCGCAAAAGCACTTGAGCTTCAAATTTACTAAAACTTTAGATTTAAATTTTACTGTGATGTGGACAAATCAAATTAGTGTGTGTTCAAGTGCAGATATAATGTATAACCAAAGGCTCCACCATAAAAAGAATAGCAATGTATACATGAAACATTTAAAATTAGTCATCACTTTTACAATTCGTTTGAATGAAATTTCTAAAATATATTGATACAATTTTTTTTCCTAGTAATTATGAGTCTGCAGTTCCATTGCACGTATTTTGAAATACCATATTTTTGTCCCATGCTATGGTTATTATCCCTATAATTGCAATTGCAATTTCGAGAGTGAATCACGCATTTTTATGTGGATGTCACTTCCTAAACTTTGCAGCGTGTAATTGGCCATCAGTCCATTATTTCCGATTTGTTATAGGGTTTTGATAAAGCTCAACTTTAAATTAATCAAATCCAGTTCACTCAAAGTGAATTCAAAAACAGAACAAGCTGCAAGTGACCTCAGTGCTTTTTCATGTTCACAATGGAACATCATACGAACCAAGTATTTTGTTTGTACTTGTTTTGTATGAACCATCATACAAAAAAGTACATACTGAAATGCCATAATTTTTCAATTACATTATGTACAAGAAATTGCTAATGCTTTTTTGATGACAACAGCCACATTTGAACCATGTATGAATAATTTGAACAAATGTTAAATAATGGGTGTGAGCATTTATTTTTACAATGCCACCTATGAGTAAGGCATTTGGCATGAGGTTGTTTATGTATTGTTGTTTCTCATGTTGGTCCTGATTCTCAGTCTTAGCTAGACAACGTGACACAGTATTAAAAGAAAACAGAAAAAAATTATCTCATTTGAATCAGACAAACACTTATTTATTTATTTATTTTTTTTTTTTTTTTGGACATAGAAAGTTAAGTGGATGTTAACAGTGTATTATGTAAAAAATATTTACATACCAGGTGTTGAGAGGGATGTTCTATCACTATTGATTGTATGTTTTTCACTTAGCATTATCCTGTTTTTGTCTATTCATCAGCTTGTTGAAGTGACCGCTTCCAGCAAAAATGATACCGGCAATCGTGAAAAGCGGGTAGGTAATCTAAAAAACAAATTCGAAAGTTATGTCTCAGCTCACTGTCTTGACTGAACATGTCCCTTAAAACAACAAATTCCCACCTGTCACCAGATCATAAAACAAGACTTTGTTTAGAATAGAATACATATGTATTACATCCTGTAACATAAAAACAGAGACATATACAGAAACATAGAGATAGAAATATGTTTTTTTTTAAAGACACATTCAAACTGGAGATCAGACAAAATCATCAGACTTCATCCATAATGTCTTCCCATATTGGGTCCAATGAGTTATTCAAGGTCACTCAGGATCTGTTGGGCTTAATGTTTTCCTAATAATTTAAAGTAATTGCACTGTAAAAACAAACACATATTATCAACCATCAAAAGAATGGAATTTTACTAAAATGTTTTTAAATGTATTTTTAATTTCCTTATTATTATTATTTTGTTATTATTGTTATTACTATGTAGCATACAATTTTTGGTAGTCTACTTGCTTTTTAAGTTATCTGTTCTTAAATATTTAAGTTAATTCAATGGGAAGATTGAAACAAGTTTTGTTAGGCACTATTTTACTAAATTAAAATTAGGTAATGCGTTTCCTCAATTAATTTGAGTAGATTAGACTTTTTAAGCTTTACGGTGCAAAATCAGAAAGGAAACTGATCATCACTCAATATATCTCTTTCTATCTCAAAGGAAGCTGTTCTTATTCGTTCAAAGAGAAGATGGGTTCTGACCACCATTGATCTTGAGGAGAACAGGCCTGGACCGTATCCCATTGAGCTTACACAGGTAACTTTACACAGTCACTGATTCCAGTGTGGTGAGTTCAGCCTTTTCCTGAAAACGTACAGACCTCATGAAATCTCTTGATGATAGAAGTTTTCTTTTCTGTGCTATGCATGTTGGAGGGTTTGGGTAAGACAAATGTCACATATTGGTACCATTTGGGTGGGCAAAGTCAGATTTCAGAATTCAGAAATTCACTCCTATGCATCCCTAGATAATGTTTTGACATGATAACACTTGCCAACCCCTGTAAGTGGAAAAATGGCAAAAGTACCTTCCTCGGAAATAATCTGGTTCATCCAGTTAATAATTCATCAAGTAGTTCATTCATCACAAATAAAGTAGGTTCCAAATTAGTGAAATAATGAGATAAAGGCAATAATTACAAAATAAATGGCAAAAATTTGAGATTTAGCATGTCAAATCGTAATACCCCAATATCATGAAATAGTCTAGCCAACTAGGTGAACCTGGAAATGTTGAGTACACCAAAGTTTTATTGCAAAAATGTTCTGTATCCAGTATACAGAAACTGCCAGATGCTAAATTGCAATGTTGAGCAATTTGCATAATTAGCATTATAGGCTTAATCGTCCATTTTCACCAGATATTTTGCACTCTATGGTCAATTTCTATACAATATCTGGAATGTTGAAATGATGGAAATGATCTAAGATTATTAATAAACTGAATTAAGATTATTAACAAAGCAATCTTTAGTGGCAGAAGTGATAGGTCTAACATATTTGTAACACAAAGTCGGCTTTTCAACCTTGGCTAAAGTTTACATGAGACTAGATAATGATTTGAGATGTCATCACTCTGCTGCAAAATTTCAACGGCATCAACATTGATTCCATGTAACAATATTAGAAAGAGTAGGTCCTGACACGTGTTGTGTAACTCCAATAGAGTAAAGAATATCTTTAGATGCCAATCCCAATGGATCTTTTTCGTTATATACATGTATATTAAAATAACCAACAATTAGGACTTTATCTGCAGCCAGTCAGCAAATTCTTTGATAGAAAGTCAGCAAATTCTTTGATAAAGTCTGTATGGTGCCCTGTATACAAGAAAAAAAAAAAAAGAAAAGTTATCTCTTTATGTATATTTTAGGCAACAATAAAATGAAATATGCTACAACTCTGGCCTTTTTCGTCAAGAATAAAACTAAACATGTTATAAAACACCATTCTGCCTCATTTCATTAAAAAAAACTTAAACATATTAGCCATATTATTAGCCATATCTTAAACATATTAGCCTAATATCTTCACTGCATATATTTATAACAAAATTAACATGATCATTTAAAAAAAAAAAAGAAACATTATTGATTTTTTTTTTTTTACATTTAAAAAAACAGGGTTGTGTCATTTTATTTTATTGTACATATAGTGAAGATAATATTAAAATATATAAGTATATTAAATAAAATTACACAACCCTGTTGTGATGATTATTGGTTATTGAGTTCCTTATTTAAGCCTGAGTTTTCCCTGTGTCCCGTGCGAAGTCTTGTTACCCTGCATTTTTCCGTCCGTACCTTACACCTGTCTATTTTTGTTAAATGTCTGTTTTAATGATCAATAATATCTAGCCTAAAAGGTATAGAAGCTACAATGTGAAATAAAGAAGGCAAACAATTCAAACTGTGTGGCAAACAATTGTGCAAATGTGTATGCAAATGTCCAGAGTCTCTCCCGCTGTCGCGTATAATCCTTCAGTCAATGCGGGAGTGTGCAACAGTGAGAAGTGAGGTACTTTCTCACAATAAGTAAGCTCTCTAATAGGCTACAAAGTTAAGTTAAATAGCCTAAATATATAAAGTTATGAAACTTTACTTTGCCTTCAGCCATCAATATATTATAAAACCATCAATAGGTAACCATAATCACCTGATCTCATTCCACTTTAGCTTTCTTTGCTACTATAAATGTGTTTGATAAATACACTGTAATAGCAGCCAACGAAGATGATATGAGTTTAGATCTCAACTAATGGAAAAACTAATCACTGTCATGGTGACTTCAAATGAAACACATAGTTAAACTCCTGTTTATTCTCAATAAAACCTTTTGTAGAAGTCAGACAGAAATAAAGTCAGTCTGGTTATTAATAAGTAAAACCTGTTATGCTATTTTTACAATTGAGTTGTTTAATCCTCCTCTGCTGAGATCTTTAGAGATTTAATATTTTCTTTTATCTTCAGTGGATTTCATCTAAGGCTGTTTCTGAAGTCATTTGTAGTTCTTGTGTTTCTGCTCATCTCTTTTTATGTTCTCGTCTTTCCTTCAGTTATTCTGCTTGTTAACAGGTTTATTAAGGCTTATTAAGTCAAGTCACAATTATTTAAATAGCGCTTTTTACAATACAAATGGTAAATGGACTGCATTTATATAGCGCTTTCATAGACCTAATGGCCACCAAAGCGCTTTACATTTGCCTCACATTCACCCATTCACACACTCATTCATACACCGATGGCGGTGTCAGCCATGCAAGGTGCCAGCCAGCTCGTCGGGAGCAGCTGGGGTTAGGTGTCTTGCTCATGGACACCTCGACATTTGGTCGAGGTGGAACTGAGGATTGAACCACCAACCTTTCGGTTTGTAGACAACCCACATGAACCACTGAGCCACTGCCGTTAATTTATTATAACCATTTGAAAATGTCATTTTGGAGCCTGCTTAAAAATGAGCTGTTTCGGAGGTATACGGCTTTAAATGCAAATGAGCTGCATATCCCCACCCTGCCTTTGGATGAGGGCGTAACTTGATACCTATCGCAGTCGGTAAGCAGAAGGGGAGAGTGAGAGACGCGCTGTTTTGAATGTCATTCAGTTTGAATCGGAATATATAAATAGTACGAAGAGACTCCGGCAGAATAAACACAAATGAGAATGGACCAGTACGTCTCGGTATGGTTATTTGATACATATGATACATACATGTTATGTACTTTAGCGTTGTAATCGCGTCCCCTTTGAAATGATGGGCATGTGCAACACACACACACAGACACACATAAACACTAATGCTGGCGCAATTTTTTTGAAATTACATACACATACTGTGATAAAGTTTGCTACGTACAAGCGAAATTACATTTATGCGAGGGACCTGTGGCGTCATGTTTACTTGTCATACGGGTGCTTCTTTGGCAAATGTGAGGAGATGGCTAACGTACAGAACAAGAACATATATGCAGTTTTTAATACAATATCTTTAAATATATATAAACGTGTGGTTACACACTATACAAACAAGGTTTAAATTATATAGCCTACACAGACATCCTACGACGACAACAACTTTAGGCGCATTTGTTGTTGAATTGGCTGACATTGACTGAAAAGACTATTTGCTCAAAAATCATAAAACACACTTACTGTTACTGGATGTGACGGTGGATTGCAAACAGTAGATGACGATCCACAGTTGAGGATTAACTTTTAAGCTACAACAACAGGATTAACCCACGAGTCCACGACAGAACACTTATGTTTCCAAGAGACATTACCGGCTGTCGTTGAAACAATGGAGGATGTGTGTACAGATCACAGAGGGCGGGGTCTAGGCCACAACCACACTGTCAATCAAACCCCTTTCTCACTTTCTATGTCACAAAGAGCTGGATCTCAGAACAGCTCGTTCTGAGGCAGTGCATATGATTTATTGAGATTGTAAAAAAAACACTGGGTGGATTTTTATCATTATAGGGTGGTTTTGCTCACACACTGCCAACACACATTTATGTTCAAACACCATGTAAAAGTGAATTTTCCATAATAGGTGCCCTTTAAGGCTGAGATGACTCTATATTGGATATATACAGACTTTGTGGCTCCGATAAAGTCCAGTTCTGGTTTATTTCTTTGCTCTTGGCTGATATGTGGCATTTGTATGGCCTGCTTGTCGCCCAGATCTGGCAAACATTAGTGGTCCACCCAAGGGCCATCATTCCACACTGCATGTTGGCCAGATTAGTATTCCACAAGTACCAGATGTGGGCCGGATCTAGGCCGAAACAATGTTGCTATCTGGGTAGGGTGGATAAATTAATGTAATTGTTTGGTTTTAGCTAGGTTTCTGTCAAATACAGCACAACTAGGGCTATACGTTCACACTGCAGGCTGAAACGACCTAATTCCGATTTTTTTGCCCCTATGCGACCTGTATCTGATTTTTTCATGACAGTTTGAATGACACAGATCCGATCTTTTCAAATGCGACCCAGGCCACTTGGGTATGTGGTCCAAATCCGATATGTATCCGATCTTTTGAAATGCGACTTCAATCTAAACGGCCAGGTCACATATATCCGACCCGCACGTCATTGCACGCACCTGCTAGCCAATACACGCTAACTCCAACGCGTTTCTGCACTGTTATGGGCCGCTGCAGACGACTCTCTTCCCCAGTGTTGTGCCTGAACGCGTTCAATGAACGAAAGTGCATGAATGCCTTCATAAACATACTGTATTACTGCCTGATGAACATTATTGTGAACACGTTCATTCTGGTGTCTGTGAACGTGCGCTCTCTGTCAGTATAACTTCATACAGTAGGGTGCCAGATTTTTATAGAGCCTTCCAGGCGAAAACCTGGCTAAAACACATGTAAACATGCCTTAAAAACATGCCTATCTGGCAACACCAGCCACCAGTGTCGCACCGCGGCCGCCGGTGACAAAGCAAGGAGCGCCGAGGACATGCACTATCAATTAAACGGGTTTTATGACGAGGTCGGTGAGGATCTGAAAAATCTTACATTTACGTGCAAACTTTGCCCGTCGATAAAATAATTATTGTCTGTGTTTGTATATGTGTCACGTAGTGGTTTTGTGTGTTTTCGTTATTAGTTTTTGCCCGTCTATTATTTATCCCAGGTGTTTCTCATTTCTCACGCCCCCTTGTTATCTTGTCTAGCTCGTTTGTCCTTATTATTTAAGCCCTGTGTTTCTGTCCTGTCTTTGTTGGTTGTTGAATTTATGTGTGT